TTGATGCAGGGCCGTGATTCAGCAGAGCAGCTGAGGCTCAGCGTGCAAGAGCCTCGTGGTGTTGGGTCCTCCGAGCTGTGTTTGAGGCCTGGAATACGGCCCCAAAAGGAACCGGGGCGAGGATGTCCCTGCGGGTCCTAGCGAGGCGCAGACTGCGTGGCCGGAGCTCAGCGGGAAGGCTGCGTGTGCTGGGTGGTTTTTTTCAGCCGTTGTGTTCCCAGATTAAGACCCAGACTGGCTTTCTCCCAGCCAATGTGGTGTTTGCCAGCGCTTGGGTGCACCACTTTTGGTGCATCTAAAAAATTTTAATTGGGGGGGGGGGGAGGTTCAAAACATTTGAAATGTGTTTTGACTAGGAAAGAAAATTTGGTGAAAGATGGTTATTTGAGTTCATTCCATTTTTTTCCACACTTAATACACTTCTGTTTGCTTTTTGTTTAAGAAAAAGTGGGAAAGGCAAGTATTAAAAAAAAAACAACAAACCAACCAAGCAAAACCTTACAGAAGAAAAGGGGTTTACACTTCCTGTTGATCTGAAAGCAAAGTACATTTTGTAACAATCTTTTGGTGGACAAAAGTGAAAAACTTCAAGCAGAGTAGCCCCCTCACTTCTGGGTTTGTGTTCGACCCTCCCTAAAAAGAAAGGTGATGGCAAGGAAAGAGGCAGGGCGAGCAGCTACTTGCAGGTGAACGGTTCTGCGTGACGCCTTGCCTGCTAGGTGACAGCGTTGCGTTTTCAACCTGTGCCGTCTCCACGCCCGTAAAGCACCGAAGCCAGGCAGAGCTGGAACTTAGCGCCGAGAAGGAAAGGGAGACCCGTGGGGTGCTCTTGCTCCTGCACGCAAGCCCGGTCCTGCCGAGGCAAAGCCTCCCTCCAGCCCGCGTGCAGCGCTCTGGTACCTGCCAGGATTTTTCTGACGCTTGCAGCAGCGTGGAGAAAAGCTCCTGCAAAATCACCATCTTCTGCTTGAGCAGCAGCTCGCGGTGCAGGGCCTCCTGCGGGGAGGGGGAGAGGTGGTCAGCGGGGACCCCCGGAGCCCGCGGGGACAGCCCAGCTCCCCCCTCCAGCTCAGGGTCGGGGCTTCCTCTGCTCGGGGGATCCAGAGAGGTCTCTGGGTTCAGTGCCTTGTCTGTAGGCTTTCCTGGCCATGTCAAAATTGGGTGCATAACCTCCCCATTTATTTAATATTTACAATTTTAAAAGTGGCATTGTACTGACTGAAGACCTGCTTTCCAGGTCAGTATGTATGGTATTTGGTACCTACCTTCAGGTAGTTGGACAGCTGCACCATTTCCTGAAAGGGAAAGGGCAAATGTTTAAAACCAATAGGATTGTTTCAGTTTATAAACATTTCATGAACTGGCCGCAAAATCCAAATATTTTGAAATAAAACTGGAGTTAATGGCCTGAGTCTGGGCGGAGGAGGAGAGCCTGCTGGGATTTGTTTGTTTGTTTTTTTCCAGGGAAGTGAAAATATTTTCTGCAGCAATTTACCACACTGAGTTATGGCACCTTTGCCCTGCAGTGTATCGAATCAGGGCAGCTGCTGAATGCAGATATCCATGGGACAGAAGTGCCTTTCTCTCCTAGAGGAGCGGTGTCGTCATTTTTGAAACTATAGAAATTTAGTACCAGTCAGAAATTCTAGAAACTAATTTCTTTTGCAGGAGTTCAAGGCTAGTTATTATCTGTGTTTCGCTTACCTTATTTAAAATGGCTATTCCGCAACTGAAATAAAAAAGAAAGCGCGTTAGAGGCGAGTGCGATGCGGGGGTCTGCGGCAGTCCGTGGCTCTGGACCCCAGCCGCTCCCCCAGCAGAGCAGGGGTGTTCGTGCAGCGAAAGCGTGTGCCGAGGCGAAAGGCATCTGGGCTCGGGCATCGAGGCTGCTGCCCTGCGGGTACCCGAATTCACAGCCCGGGGAGGGAGGGGAGGACAGGACCGGCTTACTCTGTCTGCTGGCTCGAGTCTTTCACTCCTGCGCTTGGATTTACAAGGGTCTGGGTTCCTGTGAAAGCAAAGTGGGAGGATGTGAGAGATTCCCGCCCATCCGAGGGGCTGTGAAGTTCGGTTTGAGTGTCCGTCTGGGAGATGGCATTGCTACTAGGATGGAGAGCGGGTGCTTAAACAGTGTCCGGTAACACAGCTTGATAGGGACCAGAGGCAGAGTCCTGCTCTCAGATGGGCAGAGAAGTAGAAGTTAAGTAATCCTGCAGACTGGAGTCACCCCCTGGATAATCTGGGGCACTTATAGGGAAGCCGTAGGGCAGAGCATCTGCTCAGCAGCACTGGTGGTTAAGCCATGGGCTGGTTTACAGCTCCACGGGAAAAAATATTTTTAACACCTGCAGTCTGCAGGGGAAACTCAGGCTGGGATGGTAAAACAGCGCGGGAATGGGGCTGCTGGTAGGGGAGCTTGGGTTGCAGGGGAGCTGCCAGCTTGCATCCCAAACCGCTCGATGGAGACTTAGAGGTGAGAGGGAAACGCCGTGGCTGCTGTTGTGCTGGGAAGCCTGAGCATCCCTTGCCTACCTTGGGTGTTCACAGAGGCACCTCGCCTGGAGACGGCTTCTGCCGAAATGCCGAGGGGGATGCTGAGGCTGAGCCCGGAGCGTGCAAGGGGCAACGTGGGGCAGCTCCATGGGTGCTGGAATGAGAGGGCAGCTCAAGTCAGCATCCTTCCAAAAGTGGCTGTGAGGAATGGAGGGGAAGGGGCTATGGCCGGGTCAGGCTTTGTCCCTGCAGTGACTGGGTGAAGAGCATCAAGAAGATGCCAAGAAACCATGGCAAATCCACAAGGATCTGCTGCTTTGGCTGCAGCAGCTCCAGAGCTCTGTGGGGAAGTGGGAGAAAACCTGCTGGCTTCTGGGGGGGGACACCAGAACAGGGCAAGGAGCATGCCCCAAAGTGCCTTGAGATGTTTTTGAAAAAGATGAGGCCTTTTGGTGGCAGGGGGCTGGGTCGCTGGCTTGGGTCTCTGCTACCATTTGGCTGCTTTGGAGCAAAGGTGCCTCTTCTGCACTGGCTTCCCCCTGGGGTGGGGGAGCGGCGTGCTTGCCCCTCTGCCCCCCGCAGCCTCCTGCTCCTTGTTACCTCTGCAAAAGCAAACAGAGGACGGCACCATGCATGCGCCATGTACATCTAAGTGCTTGTTC